TCATGCTTTCTTGCACATAATATTATGACATTTTTGGAGGAAGCTACATTTACCTTTTTATTTCTATCTTACTTTTCCTCCTAAAGAAAAGGGTAGTTTTTGTCTGCCTTCAATAACACTCTGACCATTTAATAAAAAGGTATCACATGTTCATGCTGCTTTTATTATTTATAAATGTATGATACTATTTCATTATGTAGTTTATTACAAGGCTTTTTGGTTTTCAAACATAATTTCTTCCTGTATTCTGCATTTTGTTAAGCATCTATTATAGGTACTGCCTCATGTACATGGTACAAAGTCTTTTTATCTGATTAAAACAAATTAAAATGGAAAACTGTTTAATCAACATGAGTACTAAATTTAAATGGAGAAAGTGCTTTTTGATCAGAAGAGATATCATGTCCCTCTCTCCTGTGATTAGAAGAAGTGACATGTCTTTGCCACTAGCTGACTTGTGTGTGTCACTTGCGTTGCCAGCAGCAATAGTTTCATGTGCTGATTCTAATGAGTCGCAACATGTATTGTTAATTATTCTGACACAAATTTTTATTGCGGACAGACATTGTACGTAGCACTAATAAAGTACCAGCCAAATACTTTGCTGTATTACTGTTTTCAAAGAAAGTTGTTCCACAGAAAATATATTGAAAAGCAGCTTCCTGTAAGGAATGCAGTTTCAGCTCTATATTAGGACGAGCATGTCATCATAATTATTTTGGGGTAACTTGGGAATGTGCAACAGGGTAACGTACACAGAAATTACACACTGAAAATCCATTTATGAAAACAGAGGACTGGTATCAGAGTGATATAAATACATACCAGACAAATAACTTTGTTTTTTATTACAGAAATCTACAGATGAAGTCAAAATAATGAAGACATGCATTTGAGAAACTGAGGGAGCAGTTAAAGCAGGCAGTAGGAGACCTTCAGTCTGCTGGTGTATGATCAAACAACTTTAATCAGCAGCCCATCTCCTTTGGCATGTAGAACTGAAATCCACTTAAAAAAAAAAAAAAAACAACCTGAAAAAATACCATCAGCAAGGTTATTTAGGGAATTCAGTGTAAAATGATAGCTTTTCATTTTCTGAAAAGAACATACTGTGTCTTAAGAGCATGTTGCATCTCACTTTCTTTCTACAATCTTTTAGAATGATGCTGGGAGCTGATTTTCCTGACTGGAATAATTTTTTCTTGAAAGTCAAAAGTCACTGCTTTTATCATGCTTTCAGTATTCTTGCTTGGTACCATACAAAATGTGGCTGCCCTGGATAGCTAAAAGCAGAATGGAAGGCAAGAACATTTTCCTTTTATGTTAGCTGTAACATCAGGGAATACCCTCTCCAACATATACTGCAGCCTCATGGGTAGGCAGTGTACATCTCTGGAGAAAAAAGAAAATAATTTAATAGAAAGAAAAGTAGTCTTTATAAAAAACAAATACCCTGTGCTTTGTTTCTGTAAACCTAGAAATAAATGATCTGAATTTCAGTCTTGGGTTACATTCCTCTGTGCCTGTGGAGGCACAGAAGGATAGTCTGGCTTTATCCAACCTCCAATTTTGGTATAATTGCTGCTGTTTCTCACAGCTGCTCCATTTGATTTCTGTACTTTAAAGGGTTTCTTTTGCTGTCCTGTGCAATAACATGGAATTACAGCCTCACTGAAAACATTTAGTAAGGAAAGATGCTATGACTATAAATCCCAACAATCAGATTTCTGCACACATGGTTATTTAGCTTTGCATATCTTCTTTAGACCCAGAATCAGCCCTTCCCTGAGATACTATTCATGTCACAGAGAGCTAATGCATAAATAATAGATTCAAAAGAAAAGTATAAATAACTCTCCTCCCTAAGCAGACATACAAATAAACACAAACCCTAGCTGGAATATGCCTAAATAAAAATCTCTTTTCTAAATCCTTTTAGAAATCCTTTAAATACACCAGTTATTTGCAAGACATGCTTTTCTTAGGGATGCATGAGTTCGTAAGTCAGCTGCTGGTATGAGATGGAAACAGAGGTACTTCTTTTTTTCTTATTATTTGCATACTGCAGTTCATAATATTTTAAAGAAACACAATGAATACTTGCAATATGGAAATTAACATGACACAACTAATTCCAGCAATGCAGGAACATCTTCTTGCTCCTTATAGTTATTGGTGATTTTATTCTCCCTTAAACATTTTTACATCAAATTAGTGGAAACACCAGTATATATTTAATCTGAGAGTTTGCTAAAGGTATTCAAGGCTATAACTTACAGATACAGTCTGATAATTTAGAAAATATCAATTTCATAATGGAAAAAAAATCTTATTTTTTAAAATGTTGTGCCAAAATCCATTTGAAGGAAGAGGGGAGGGCCCCAAAGCCATGTAACCAAGAGATGAGTAGGGTAGTCAACAGAGAAATGACACAGCGTCAAACCGCTCCTCTGCCTGACATAAATAAATAATTTGAACTTCACAAAAATTCATAGAAACATGAGCTCAGTCGCAGGACTAGAATATGTTCTTGTCAAAATTTGAACCTGAGTTTCAGGAAGTGGATTCACTGTACAAGTGAATTTTTTATCTGACCAATAGGTATCTGTAAAATGCTTTGAGGCTTCTGGAATGGGAATTAGTAGAGATTTTTTTCTAGGTTCATTGTTTTCTTTTGTTTGGTTTAAGTTGGGTTGGGTTTGGTTTGATTTTCCTTTGTGGTTTTTTTGGTCTGTTTTTAAAGAGTCTTTAGATTATTTAAAACCTAAGTAGTATCCCTTGGCTTGACTTTTGTTTTTGTTGCTCTTCGGTTTATAGCATTAGACAAAACGAATCAGGTTATTTCTCACAGCTTTCTACCTCTTGATAAAGGTCAGTGTTTAGCTATTGAAAATGTTGGAAAGAAGATACATGTGGCATTTTGGGGTATTGATCTGTTTATAATGTATCATTGTGGCCTCCAGTGCTTTAATTTCCTTAATAGCCTATTTTTAAGGCTGCTGTCAAGGTAGGAAAGAATGTTTCCTGAGTTTTATGTCCTTACCTTCTGCCTACATTTTAACACCTGACAAAATCTTTTTATCTTTGGATTTGGGCTTTCTGTATTCAGGAGTAGTTAGTTGGTCTGTAGCCTTTTACACTTCATCTCTTGTGCCTCAAAGAATTTAGCACCATATCAGCTATGTTGCTATCCAGTAAACACTTGCTGTGGAGAGATGAGATGCTGAAAATAATGTAAAAATTAAATATTCATTGACTTGAAGGTTAATTAGACTAGGAGTGCATGTGTGTAGGTGGAGTATGGTTTCCAGCTCTATAGTAAGTAGGTTTTCAAATTATATAAGTGACAGGCTGATTTCAGAGCTATCATTTCATCTGACCGAGAATGGAAATGAAAATGAATATACCAAAGGAAAAAGTTCTTGTGAAAATATATTGTCTCACTTATGCTAATAGAGAAAATCTGTACAATCCAGATAACAATGGGGTTAATCCATATTAACATGTTATAACTGGGATCAGGGTGAGGGTTCTACTAATTTGGTCCTTAGCACCTGCATTTGCAATTTCTAAATACCTGGGATGAAAGGTTGAATTTTTTGGTTGTGTAACTTCCATGGTAAAGCTGAGAGTGCTGGCAGTAAGAAAGCATCCAAAAGTTACTCATATTGCCTCCATTTGAAATTTGCTCTGTAGAGCAGAAAGGTGCTTCTGTGGGAAATGTAGAACAATATTCTGAACACGAGTTAAAAATGAAAAACTTCTGAGAGTTTTGCAATACATGGAGATTCCAGACACAGGAATGGGAGTGGAATAGAAAAAGAAATAATCCAAACACAGTACCATGTGTTGGCAGATGGATAAAAAGAGGGGCTTCCAAGACAAAAACATCTGAAAGCCCAGAGATCTAAAAGAACTAAGTAAACTTTTAAATTTTTGGTCTCAGTTCTGCAGAAGACACTAGCAACTTTAGAAATGAGGATACAGTTATCAGCTTTTTCAGCCTCTTCTCGGGACAATTCATAGTTGTTTTTAGTTACATCACTGCTGTTGGTCTAAAGAATTAGGAATTTTTTCCCATTCCTCTGCACTAGTTTTTAGCATATTTACAAAATGTGGTCAGAGAGAAGATTAAAAATAGATCTTATAATACTGAAATGTACTCATTAATTTCAGTTTGGAGCTCCCACTTTTGTTCACTGTTCTATCTAGGAGAGAATTTGATTTCTTTTAAAAGAGCATTGCATTTTATAGTCTATGAGATCTTGTGTTAATCTCAGAGGCTTGTATTTTCACCAGTGACACATCTGACACATAGTTCACTCATCATTGGAAGTAATTGCTTACTTTAAAATACTCTTTTCCCCAGTACTTTTAAAGCGCCACTTCTCCCCGGAGCTTGCCTAAGGCTGCTGAATTCCTTCTCTGAGCATTTCCCAGTTTTGTGATGCTTGTGTTAATTAATGGCTGATGTTCTTTCACTCAATAGTTCTCTCATATTTTCCATGCTGAGTGCTCCTATGCATGCATCTGAGGTGCCCTGTAAATAAAATAAATCCTGGCAAAAATTCAGCCGCTTAAAAATTATTTCTCACTCATCATATAAGTTTAGTCTTTGTATTATGTTCCTTCTACAATAAATATTTGAGTTGAACTTAATAAAATCTCATCTTAACTTTCTGCCAAGCTGTTAACAGTGAAGTTTGCTTCTGAAATCTGCCTATGAAGTCTGCCTTCCTCTCAGTGTCTGAATCTGTTTTCTCGTATGCGGACACATGCACAAGCCTTTATCTCTATGTAGTGATTAAACATGCAGGGCATTCTTTCTTTTTTACAAGTGACTTAGGAAGTTAAAAGGAATTAAAATTACAATTATCAGAGAATTTAAATTAACATGAAGAGCAAATAAGCATCACTTGAACTGGAGAAGGACTCTGCATGCTTTTTTTTACCTCAGTGGTGCTTTCAGGATAAAGTATGACTTCTCCCCATTCCTTTTAACTCTTGTTTTACTTTTCAGTGCAGGAAGGCCCAGCATTAGTTTCAGGACTTAATGTTCCTAGTCTGGAAAAAACAAGAAGAAAGCTGAGTATAGTAGAGAAATTAAGATTGTTCTGAAGGGCAAAAGTCAATACAATCATCAGTTTTAAGGAACTCAGTAATAGACATAAACTACAGGGTTACAAGATAGGCAATGACAGACCAGGGGGTAATAGTGGGTTTAAACTGAAGGATAGTAGGTGTAAATTAGGTTTAAGGAAGAAATTCTTTGCTGTGGGGGTGGTGAGGCACTGGACTAGGTTGCCCAGAGAAGCTGTGGATGCCCCAGAAGAAGTGAGGCTGCTGGCACCTGCACCAAGCTCCATTGCAAGGATTTAATGTTCACTAACAATTGCAATGTCCTGGCACAGCCAGAGGGCAGTTAGTTCTCACTCCAGGGAAGTCCAAGCTATGTCTAGAATTAATATACAAACCTGATGGAATACTAACACATTTATCACTTGCACTTTGAATTAACACTCTAAGTAAGTACAGAATAGTGCATGAAACTCTTTTAAAATGGCAAAGGTAATGGAGGAAAACCATCAGCTTTTGCTGCTTTTGGACAGAGGTACAGCAATTGACAGTGAAGAAAAGTTAAAACTGACACAAAAAAGGACAGCATAAATTGAAGCTTCTATATAGCCCAGTGCTTGTTTTGCTTATAAGAAGTATAAATAAGTGAAATGCAGAGATTAAATGGTGCCCAAGCAAGCAAGAGGACCACAGATCATGCTTTAATGTTGGGGAACAGTGAAGGGAAAATGAAAGGTTCTTATGCTTTTAGCATCTGGTACTTCTGTGTTCTATTTGGATTTTCTAATAACTTTCTCCAGTATTAACAAACACTGTGTATCTGCTTTTTTTTTTTTTTTACTTTTCATATTTTCACCAAACTATTTAAAGTGATACATTACTTTTCTCTATTATTGTGGTTTATTGTGACAGAACCAGTCCATGATAAATCCTTCCACATTGCTGCAGTATCTGCAGTCAAATAGTCTACTGTTGATGTTTCACTGAATGCAGAGGTTAAAATAAATGTTAGGCTAATGTCCTCCACTGCCAAATATTTAAATATCAATCTAAACCAGATTTTTTTTATCTCCACTATAAAACATTATTCTAGAGAAGAACACCGGAAATGCATTGAAAGCTTACGGCTTTTTTTGTTTTCCAAGTGGTAGGATAGAAGAGAAAAATGATCTTTATCCCTGAGATGGAGATTTGAGACTTAATAATTCTGTTTCCCAGACATACTGACAAGCAGGTAAATACATCTGGAGAGGCTTTCTTCCTAAATGGTGAACAGTTCATGCTGTGCAGAAACTTTGACATGCATTCAGCAGTTTTGCTCTGTACTTTTTCTGTTACAATTTTAGTCAAAATTGCCTGGTTTATGACCAGGGTATAGTATGTGGAACTGAACAAGAAAGGATTTCCTTTCTTATAGAAAAGTGATAGTATAGAATATAGGTTTGGACTGTGCATTTGCTTTGTTAAGACCCCAGAGATGTATATTTTCAAAACTAGAAAGATGAATTTTCAGAGTAAGTGTATGCCCTGAAAGGAGGGAGTCTAGGTGGGCATTGAGGATACAGAAGAAAAAAATTCTGTGCTGGGGAGAAGAGGGAAAATTACAGCAGAGATTTTCTTCTGGCAAATTCATGGTGTGGAGAAAAAAATATGCCTTCTAAGAAGTAATTAATATCTTTTATTAACATCATGTCTCAGAACTAGACACTAATTTTGTTTGAAATTATCTGCCAGTAGCTAAATTAACATGATTGAACTGAGAGAGGTGAAAGCCACAATTTGAATGCTTTATTCAGATAATTATTTAAATTATAGAAAAGTGATAGAGGAGGGACTTAGATTTTTCTCTATCACAGAATAATCATGTGTCAGAAAAGTATGCAAAACTTGAAAAGAAATGTGTGTGAATTAACAATTTGGAATTCTTTCCCTGGGGGTAAAAAACACTAGGTGTAATCTGTACGCTACTACACACACATTCAAATAAAAACAGCAAAAGGTGGTAAAAAATACCGATCTTTGACACCTTTTTTATTTTCAATGATGAAGTAATTTTTAAAATGCTTTATGAGTTAAACTGCATAAAGGAACTTTGAAAGTATCTAAGCAAGTGGAAATTTACAAGACACACATTAAACAATTATTAATTTGTATTTAAATAAACTGGAAATGAAATTGAATGTGGAATTCTGAAGTTTATGGCTTGCTATATCCTGTTAGACTGATTTATTTATTTTGCTTTGCAGAAATGCTCTTTTTAATATCTTTTTTGAAGTGCTTAGAAGAAGATAATTCAAATGAAAACTGAAATGGCAAGTAAAGCCAGGAATATGTATAGATGGAAAATTTAAGACAATTTAATGCTGAGGTGTTATAGAGTTGAATTAATCTGGTTTAGATACAGAATTTTTCTGTCCAACTTTGTATCATACATAAAATGAATGAAACTTTACCTGAAGTTTCAAACACCTGAAGAATTTCATACAACTATTATGTCTTGTTGATTTTTTAAACATTAATGTTTTCTCATGTCTTGCAATATATAAATAAAGCCCCTCAAAAACCTGCAAGAATCAGTGCAGGTGAGTTTCCTTTGGTTAAATTACTTGCTTGTGGCTGTGTTAAAAATTCAAGTTTAAAGTAGTTCAAACAACATGATGAAATTGTCCTAGTTTTATTTGCTTCGCATGGGCAGTGTTGCAATTCTACCCCTGCCACCACACACAAGAAATCAATTTGCCAACCAAGTTAGAGAAGGACAGGACTGTTAAAGAAATCTTTCCTAATCCCTCCAGGGTTCTGGCATGACATGGGTTTAACATTATCCTAACATATTTTATATAGATAATAATTTCTAAGTTGTCAGAGCAGTGTTCAGAGAAAGTTTTTGCTGTTCAGAATGCTGTAGGTGGTCAGTAAGAAGCAAAAAGTCATTCCTTTACTGATACAGTGGGAGAGAAAAAAGGACCATGAGAAAAAGCTGTATGGTGATAGGGCTGAATCACACTTTATATTCCTAGACTATCCCATTTTGTTGTGGAAAGAAAAGGTTTGTAGAAGAAGCTACATCATTAAACCCCAATTAATAATGAGTCTTTTATATAGCAAATAGGAGTCAGAATATATAATCACAATAAAAACTATATTATTTTGAGCTTACCTAACAGTAGTCTGGTTATTTTGTGGCCCTTACTCAGTAGGAAGGACAATTCTGTGCACTAGGACTCTGGTAAGCACACATAAAAGCATATTGCTGGCAAGTCATGTACTGATGTCATGTACAGGCTCTGATCCATTTGAATGACATATGCCATTACAAAGGGTAAGAGAAATTATGTAATCAAAGCAATGAGAGAGAGAAAGAAAGAGAGGACACTTCTTATTTTTCTGATTTTGGGATTTATTAATGCTGAAATAAGGAAAACATACCAGACATCACAGGTAGATTTTTTTGATAATATGTTTTTTCCTTCAAGTTATGAATTTTTTAAAGCAAATTTTTTTTCTGCTGAAACCATAGAGCCTGATTTTCTACTCACAGTAATATCTGGTCTCATAACTGGGGAATTCCATAGTCTACTCTCACATATATACCTACTGTTTAGTTAGCAGTGGCATGTTTGGATTTCCATTTGACATAAGATTGTTGGCAGTTCTCAGTTGCCTGTTTATACAGATCAAGGAAAAGCTTTGAGTTCTGTGTCTCAAACTGCAAATAAATTTTAAAAATTTCTTCATTATCTCTGAGGCTTTTCCCCAGGAAAGAGAACACCATGGACATTTTCCCAACTGCTGCTAAGTGTCAGTTTAAAATCAGGGAAAGTAGTAAAAAATAGTTCAAATATGTAATCCTATACATTGCTTGAGTGTAGCATCACCATTGCTGGATTACTTGACTTTGAATTCTTTGTTTTAAAAAATACTTTAAAATATTATATAGAAAAATAATATTAAATACAGAGGTAATCTTCATTATCTTATGATTTTTAATGCATTCAGCATTTTGCATAGCAACAAGTCATGCTGATTCAATAATTTAAAAAATTAAGTACTGTTTCTAAATACTGAATTCACTGAAAATACATTTAAGAATCCAAGCAGGATGGACCTGGCAAGATTGGCACTCCAGGAATCTGGAGATTTCACTGGGTGTTCATGTTACATTCTCAAATTCAGACAAATAGGCATCTCCTAACCACAAAATATGATTCAAATTTTCAGATGATGTTAACTGGAACAAGTGTGGCCTTCATACAAGGCTGGAGATTTATGCCAGGGATGCCAGGCTGTGTCATGCAGAACTGCTCAGATGGGAAGCAGCAGTCATACTGCTGGGACGTTTTGCTCCTGCTAACACTGCTTGCAATGTTCAGCAGAGCTGGTTGGCTCAGAACCCTGGCTGATGCTGTTCTAACTTTCCAGGGATGGATCTTTTTGGATGGTACTGCATGATGTTCTATAAATGCAATCATTATTTTCATAATGTTCTATCATGGAAAACAAAAAAATTTAGAGCTATATAACAACACTTGTGCCAAGTCCTTTACATTACCTGGGGTACCTTGATTAAAGATACATAATTTAAGCCATGATAGAAGGATATTTTTCTGCTGATCTGTCAGTGAAGTAGAAGATGTGGAACAAAGCTATCACTTAGGAATTTCATTCACTTGTCTGAACTGCATATAACCAGCCAGAGAGATAGCAGAGATTATATTTTTAATTTGAATGAGTATTGGCTTCCCTTTATATTTCAATTTTTCATCCCATCTGTCAGAATGTCTTTCAAATTTTTTAAGTTAAGTAGAATGACATGAAAACAATTCAGTATATACAGGGATTTTTTTTAGTTAGGCAAAACCACAGGTTTTCAGTATGTCAAAAAATCTGGTCTGATCTTTTTCCAAAAGTTCTATGTCAAACCAAAAGAGAAGGAAACTAATGTCAAGTAAACTCCTTCAACAATGTTTTTGGGTGATTTTGGTTTC